TATATATATATATATATATATATATATATATATATATATATATATATATATATACTAGAAGGGTACTCACATAATGCAGCGAAATAAATCTCCATTTTACGTTTATCTGCAGTTAGTTACACGAATTTAAAAATGAAGCTTTAATACGTTATACGTAAAATCACTTGTAATCTTAAATTTTAAATAATATGCATCAATAAACAATATTTCATATATAAAAAATGGTTTTTAAGAATTTTTGTCAAATGTTTTATAACATAGTACAGATGATTACAAAATTTAAAAATTAAAAGGTCTTTTGTGGCCTATTTTAACCAAACGATTCTAAATTCCATGATTAATAAAATATTTTATAGTCTTTCTTAAGTAATATTCCAATATGCTTTATATAAATTTCCATTAATTATAGCAAAAAATAAACACGGAAATTTTCAAAAATTATTATTTGTGTTGACTTGTTTTGTCATATTCTCAGGTCAAATTTTAACGTATTTTAATTCTGATATTCCTTTTTTATTAAGAAATATGAAATCATCGTAATACGTCATTGAATAAATTCCATTTGTCATGTTATTCAATTATCTATTAAAAGTTTAGGATAATTTCTATACTATACTATAATATAATATTATTTATATTATACATGCATATATATATAGAGAGAGAGAGAGGATAATTCAAGAAAAAACTGATTAATTTGTGATAACTGTAAGATCCAATTTCAACCATAAATCAATAATTAAATTATGAAACTAATGGTTTTGGTAATTTGACTTAAATTTTTAATTAAAGGGGATTTTAGATATTATAAAAAAATTTATCTCTCATCTCTCCGGCGAACCTTATTCTTGCGAACCTTATTCCGTTAAACACATGATGCACACTATGATACCCTTCATAAAATAAAGAAAAAAACACAGTGTGATACACTTAGTAAAACAACATTACCTGATACATTGTGTTACACTTCGTAAAACAACAAAAATATATTGTGATACACTTCGTATAACAACAAAAACACACTGTGATATACATTATGATACGAATATGATACTAGATTTGGTTGATGAATACAACTGTGATACCACTGTATTACATCCAACATTACATATTGACAATATATGATTACGTCTCCGATCTAAAACGAGATCTATGCAAAAACCAGAAACTGAAACCGATCGGGGTGTGCAGAAACTAGATCTGTACGGATATGAATAACCGAAACCGATCTAGGTTTTTTTTCTCGATTGGAAGAAGTCATCGAATTGGTTGAGATGCGACGGAGTTTATGGCAGAAGCCATATCTGTGCGGCTCTCCGTTCAGCATTGTCGTGGTTGAGATGGAGATGGTTGAGATTGGCGGAGAATGGTTGAGATCGACGGCGAGAATGGTTGGGATTGGGCGACGGGAATGGTTGGGATCGGCGGTAAGAATGGTTGAGATCAGGCGGCGAGAATGGTTGAGATCAGGCGGCGAGAATGGTTGAGATCGTGGAGAATGTGGAGCTTGTGGAAGTGGGTATTAAGGGAGGATGAAGAAACGACCGGCCAAATTTATTTGGAGTTTCAAATTCCAAAAAGATTTAACATTTAGG